CATTGTTAACATGTTTTAGATCTAAGCACGATGTATTGACTACATAAATGAAGAATTGAGAGGATGAACATGTTAAAAAGTAAAGAGAGGAGCTTAACCCAATTAGTTCATTTTGTCTCTCTAGGCTTATGGGTTGAATTTCAAAGTTAGATCAAATTCAAAAGTGTCACACCTGCTGAGCTTTAGTGGCCTTAAATTTGTCATTAGATCGTAACATTTAATGATAGACAATAATAGAATAACCCAATCGAATAAGAAATCATGAGGTGGCCCAAGTTGCATGATAGTCGCTGGACCTAGATCTTGACGTTCATTATCAATGAAACGGGTACTCTCCTTTCACACGAATGGCAATGCGACCTTTGTTTCCTGTTGCGTTTACATATTGGGCACTATTTCCATTGGACTTTCAAGCTGTGGCCCATGTATTGCCACTTGGCTTCTTCTTCTTTCTTTTCCTTTTTTTTTTAATACAAAGATAATAGATTCACTTATTAACTCATAAAACTAATAGAAGAAAAGAGGAGAATTAAAATGAAATAGAATCTTTTGAAGTTTGAACAGTTTTCTTGGCTTCATTTGCCAATGATAAATATTGGTAATTGGTAATTGGGCAATCCCATCAATAACTGAGAAGATGGAAATGATAATTGACATCCTCTAATTTGATTAATGTCTCCCTCTTCTTCTTCTCCTTCTCCTTCAACTGCAAATTGGACGTCACATTCATTGCATGCGTATATCAAATGAGGTGATGCACTGGCTATTAATAATAGTCCAAAAGAGTTGGAGCACTAAAACAAAGATTATCTGCTTGGACAAATGACAGAGATACGCAGCCAATATGGTAATGTCAATGAGCAACAAAAAGAAGGGCAATTTGTAAGAGATTGGACGAGAAGGCCTACTGGACATGTTCATCATTTGGGATGTGGAAACTGATTTATTTCAAGCCATCCAGTTTGACAAAGATGTATACAACGTGTTCCATATGCTGAAATTTCTTTAATACAAGTTTCATTAAACAATCCCAAATCCCAATTCACAGTTTCCTCCTGGGCCTGAAATGATTAACCACACCAAATGACAGAGATTGAAGAATTAATCTTTTGTGGGGATAAACTTTGAAAGCAAGGTGTAGTGGGAGCTGGGTCCAAATTAAAAGTTAATTTAAATAAATTTTCTTAAAATCTTAACATGCATGTATAATAATAATAATAATAATAATAATAATAATAATAGTAATGATAAAATCTATTCTTTACTTGTCTAAATATAACATTTATGTTTGGATGACACTTTCAATTAAAATTCTAACACATAACATATATAATATTAATGTTAATATAATGAGTTTAATTTAAAATTTTAATATCATATAACATTATATTTAAATGTCAATGTTAATATAATATATAATGTATGTAACTTTACATATTAACATTAACGTAACTAACATTTAACAATAACATTTATTTATAAATAAGATCATTAATTATGGATAATATATATTGATAAATAAGGAACATCCACTAAGGACCCACAGAATTCCCCCAATCAGGCAATGACACATCTTCGAGATGTGCGAAGTGGAGAGGATTCTGATGATGCTCAAAAGCAGATGAAGAAATGAGACCGGCAATGCCGTTTCCCGAGTCTTCATTTTTACTTGGTTTTTCTTTTCAGTTTCATTTGGTTATTGTATATGATTATAGTATCAGGCCGATTCATAGTAAGGTCATAGATAATATACAACATATTTATATATATTAACGCTAATATTAAAAATATATATTTTAACATAAAAGAGTGAAATTAAATATAAAAAATAATATAACATTCGGCATAAAATAGATGAAGTTATATATTAAACACAGATTAACAAGCTTCTTTCTTTTTATTTTTTAAAAAAGGGCTTTTTATTATTATTTGACCTTACGTAAGATGAGCCTTATTGTAGCCGTAGCTCATTTTTTTCTCAAATTAGTTGTTAGTAACTTCTGGCTAGTTGGCTGAGGTAGTTCTTGTGGTGGTTTCAGCATCTGTAGTAGCTTTGGGTTTAACTTGTTTTGAGGTTGAAGCCAAGTCTGTTTCGGCAGCCTCCGCTTCTTCCCTGAATTTCTTGTAGATGTCACTTTTGTAAAACTTTCTGGTCCTCAGAACCAAAACACAAGAAACAAGGAATCCAAAGAATGTGGTCGCTGCGATCCTAATAAAAGCAATCCTGTAGCACTGCCCTCCAGTGCAAGTCAAGGCTTCCCCTGGTTTCCTTGTACGACCCAAAGCTTTCATTTGCTTCAAAGCCTCTTTATCATATAAATAACCCGCAACTTTAACATTTAGAATGTAAGTTCCGACTGGACTAGCCACAGAACCAAAATTGTACAATGTGGAGTAGTATTTAAGGCCAAAAATTTCAGAGATGATGGCATATATTAATGGCCATTGTGCTCCAAGGCAGAATCCGATTATAACTGAGGCAAAGTAGAGGGAATTTGGGACT